GGAGCTGAAGGCAGGTGAGGCTCGAGGCACATACCTGGGCCAGGGACCTGCGTCTGGCCTTTCGGTTGGAAAGGAGGCATGCCTTGTCTCCTACTTGGCTTCTCACCAGTCTCGTTCCAGGCAAGTGGGGTGGGCACAGCCAGAGCAGGGAGTTGCCCAGGGACCTGAGAGCAGAGTTCCTGTGCTGTGGAAAGGGTGGGGCTCATGGTGACAACGTTGTCACCACAATGTGGGCCTTCTCTGTGTCTCCAGATACCACAGCCTTGCCCTGGTGTGTATATGAGAGCTCTTGGCCTGGAGGAGACCAGGAAGGGTGGGGCCAGGGTCCTGGGCCAGCCCAGCCATAGGACAGCGTCTTTCAGAGTAGCTGACAGGCTTGTGCATGTGAGGTTGTCCCCAGTTCCCTTGGACAGGTGAAAGGAGTCTGTTCGCTGCAGGCCCTGGGCACGCCCACAGGTACAGCCTCTGATAAGGAGTAAGAGGGTTTGGTGACCTCAGGCTGGGTTCAATCATGTTCCTCCAGTCCAGCAATCCCACTTCTTTTTAGTGTATATCCAAAAGATTTGAAAGCAGGAACTTGAACAGACATCTGTACACCCCTGTTCACAGCAGCATTCTTCATGGCAGCCAAGAGGTGGAAGCAACTAAGTGCCTGTCCCCAGGTGAGTGAACGTACAAGGTGGCACGTGTGTACAGTGGGTGTCATTCAGCCTTCAAAGGAAGGAGATCCCAACGCATGCACAGCATGGACAAACCTCGAGGGCTTCATGCTGAGTGAAATGAGCCAGTCTCAAGAGGACAAACCCTGCATGAATCCACGTATGGAAGATCCCTAGAGCCGTCAAATTCATAAAGACAGAAGTAAATGGTGGTCGCACAGGTGGGGAAAGGAAAAAGTGGGCAGTTGTTTAATGGGTCCAGAGTTTCAGTTTTGCAAGATGAGAAAGTTCTGGAGATCCGTGGCACAACAATGTGACTGTATTTAACACGGCTGAACTTACACTTAAAACTGGTTGAGATGGTACATTTTATGTTATGCGTCCGTACCACCATTTAACATTTTTCCAAAGAAAAAAAGGCTTCCTCCAAGCCCCAGCCACCCCAGTGGAGGCACAGCAGCCCCTCCACACTCAGGCGTCTTCAGCACCTGCGCCACAGGTGCGGCCCCCACACCAGGGGCCTCCCTTGAGTCCAGCAGCTGGCGGCCCTGCCTCCCTCCGCTCAGTCAGAGCTTTCCTGGGACCTCCTGCCTCCCCGTCTTGCTATGTGGGGGCCTCCTCTAGATCTCAGGGAACACGCCACCTCTGGGGAGCCTTCTCTGCGTGCTGTCAGTCGCCCCCTGGTTCCCTCCACCTTCTGCTTCTCCTGCTGTGTTAGGA